ATTCCCCATGCAGTTTTGTCTGTTCTTCCTCCGTTCCCACCCGACTGTCGCACAGTGGTGTTGTGTGCCGTTCAAAAGCTGCCGTGCTCCACCCCAGAGGCGGCTGCCTTTCAGAGACAAGGGAAGCAATGGCCACAAGGTGGAACTGAAATTGAGGAGCGTGGCAAAAGCTTCTCCCGCGGTAGGGCCTGAGCAGCAAAGGCTGCCCATGAATTGGGATCGGAGCAAGGTTCTCACTTCCCCGCCATTTCTGCCTAGGGAGAGCCAGGGAGAGGAGCTGGGGGGAGAAGGGGGTGGCTTTTCAAGTGCTCAGGGTGGCTGAAAAGGAGCAGGCAGCCGTAAGGGGATGGCGGCGAACTGGCCGTGGGGGCTGCGGGAGGCGGTGTAATCATTAGGACACGTTTGGGTGAGGAAGGAAGTAGGGGGCTGGCAGGGTGCAAAAGGCTGCAAATGCTGTGCCCTGGTGGCACAGCCCCTTCACCAGCCTGTGTGGGGGAGAAGCCCCAGCACCCACACCCTCTAACTAGCTGCTGAGGCAGATTTGGCTCAGCCCCGCCGGTGGCATTCGGGGAGGCCGGAAGGCAGGGCCGTTCGGGCTGATCTCGCAGGGCCGGTTTCCCCTCGCTCAGGGACACGACGGGCAGCCTTCAGCCCGCACCATTGCGTGCGATTCCAGGGCCGCAAGATTGCCAAGCCAAGCCCGGCCTCTCTCCGCTCCCTCTGGCTGCGCTTGGCCATCGGCACAGCTAGGTCAGGAAAATTCCTTGAAAGGCAACTGTCCGTCCGTCCCTCTCCACGAGGGAGGACAGTCCTGGTGTGCCTGGGTGCCACCCCGTTGGAGGGCATGAGCCCCAATCCCAGTGTGTGCGCAGCATGGGGGGGGTCTCTCTGCGGCCCCCAGCTCCTTCTAAGGAAGGAGATCCCACCACCTCCCTAGGTAACGCATTCCAGTGCTTCACCACCCTCCTCGTGAAAAAGTTTTTCCTAACATCCAACCTAGACCTCCCCCACTGCCACTTGAGTCCATTGCTCCTTGTTCTGTCATCTGCCACCCCTGAGAACAGCTGAGCTCCATCCTCTTTGGAACCCCCTTTCATTCCCCACACACCCCGACTGTATCGACCGCAGCAACACTCATCACACCAATAAGCCACTGAATTGACCCCGCAACCTCGCACGGCTCCATCAGACCGGGTTGAAGGAGAAAGGGGTTGCCCCGGAACAAGGCAATCGTGCACTTCTGCCCTGGGGCATCATCCCACCTCTTCCCTGGGACACCGACTGTGCCCTAGACCATGAGTGTCAACCACCAGTCACTGACTGAGACCCCACTGTCCCTTCCCGGCTCTAGGGGGCACCAGCTCTCCTCACTTCCCCTCTTCTTGAGCTACGCCACAACACGGCCAAAGCAAACCAAAAATCAACCCACTGGCCACAGCAGAGCGCATTGCTCCCTGTGCCTTTCCCACGATGCACTGGGAAGTGAAGCCCCCTGCAGGGAACGTGGAGGGAGGAGCCCAGGGTGCAGGAGGGACGAGTTTGGAGGAGGCACCGGGCAGTCAGGCTGAGGGCACATGGCTGGAATGCTGGCCTCAATTGCAGCACCTCTGTTAATGGTTCTGTTCCACAGCCCTGGAGTCCTCTCCCGTTATCCCCCAGCACACAGAACAGGGGGAAAGGCATTGATCTAGCTAATCCCAGGGCTGAGGTCTCCTTCAGGGATCTAGCTCTCAGCTGCCCCATCACTGCCCTCATCCGCATGAGCACTCTCTGCTTCTTGCCAGGCGAGCACAGCTGCCCGCTCGCCTGCCTGTGCCCAACGCGAGCTGTCACGCTAGGTTTTATTTCTAATTGCTTAAGATAAGGTGGTGCAAAGCAAAGCCAGACCTTGGCTGCAGGTGACTCACTACAAGATAAGCCAGGAAGAGGACAGCATTGAAGTCCCTGCAGCGGGAGACGAGAGGTGACATTGCTCAACTCACCCCCTCCCCACCCATACCCCAAAACATCTAGACACAATGGGCCTCCCAGACTTGCAAAAGCAAAGGGAGAATTGTGGAAAGATAAAGCGAGTAGCAGAGCCAAAAATAGAACCCAGGGTCCTGACTCCCCGTCTTTTATTCCAACCATTAAAGAGCACTCCACCCCAGATCCAGCCATACATGGAAAAGAGGGGCGCGTTGATAGCAACGTCTCTGAATGAGCCATTATGACATGCAGACAACTGATAAGGGAAGCTAAAAGGTATTGGCTAGTTAGGTTAAGGATAAGAAGAACTTGTGGTTTTAATCGGTCAGGAACAAAAGAAACTAGCTGTGGTCTAGGTTGGGTACTAGAGCAGGATGGTAGAATTGTCCCTGATAATACAGACAAGGCAGAAGTGTTCAGAAACTATTTTTGTGATGTATTTGGAAGGAAGCAGCTCCCCTCTGCTTTTCACCACGCTCCCACTACTTTAAATCCCACTTGGCATTTTCAAAAGGTCCAGAAAACGGGCTGTCCCAGCCCAAGAGAGCCACTGAGATCAGAGATCTATGCAAGGCCGAGCTTAGCTGCTGTGAGGCTGGCTGGGCTAGTGGCTAAGGCAGTCAGGACACCTGGGTTCTATTCTTAGCTCTGCAGGGTGATCTCGGGCAATTGCCCATTCCGCCTCCACCCTCCGTCTGTCTTTCTGTTCAAGCTCTGTGGGGCACAGCCTGTCTCTTGTTTGGCCTGCGTCTGGCACAATGGAGGTTCTACTCTTGGGTGCTTTGGAAATGCAGATCACACAGGCCACCTCTTCCCAGGCTTCAGCTCACTCAGCTGTTGAACGGCTCGAAGAAGATTTTGCCCTTCCCCACGGGAGTGGCAGGGTTGGACCCTGAAGCGCTCGGAGAGGCCACTCGGCCCCTCGAACCCGCGGCCACTCGGATCCTGCCCCTGCCCACCGGCATCTCCTCACTAGCAATGGAGATCCTCGAGAACCTGGCGAAACACCAGTGTGCCCAGAGGCGGACCAGCCCCACCGGCTCCAATGATCCCTGCAAGCGGGTGACCGTGGAAGGGATGGGGGCCCTCGCAGAGGCAACGCCCCAGAGAGAAAGAGATCCAGGAGACAGAACCCAAGCAAAGAGCGGCCTGCCCAGCCTTCCCCTGCATGGGTCCCCAGCTTCTCCTCTCGGAGACAGCCTGGCATCCTCTGCGTCCCAGCTCAACCTCGAACAAGCAGGACTAGACTGGTGCAAAGAGCTTCCCCCCCCCCACCCCCGCAAGCCCTGACGTCAGCAGCGGGTTATTCATTAGCTCGTTAAAGAGTCGGGTGGGGGAAGAAAGCGCCAACCCCCATTCTAGCTGCTGATCTCTGCTGTCATGTCCCCGATTCGCCTACACTCCTCCCCGGCCTCCTGTTATCCCTGGACTGTCACCACCTCCAAATCCACCTGCCCCAGCTGCTGGTTCCACCCCGTGAGGTTAGAACAGGCCCCGTCCGGGCCAGCCACCCTGCCCACCAGCACTCGGTCCAGCCTAGCCTGAGATGGGCCCGGGTAGGTCTGGCCGAGGACAGCTTTCCCGGCCCCTCCTGGCTCTGTCAGCCCAGGACCCCTCAAAGCATTTACGGCAACAGGGCCATGGCGCTACCAAGGGGGGGGGAGGGGCTTTGGGAAGGATGGAGCGCTTGTCATCAGCTGTCGTCCTACGGAGCAAGAGCCCGACACCCCCACTCCCAGTCTCACCAGTGGCAGGAGTGGGACTTTTGCTGGAGGAGGGGGCTGCACTGGGGTGTCACGGTGGGCAGAGAGAAAGGCAGGGGCTTCCGGGGGGCAATGGAAGAGCCACAGAGCAGAGCTATGGGGCACAGACTCTCCAGTGGGTCTAGGTTTGTACAGCGCCTAGCGCAGTGGTGTCCAGGGCCACAGCCAGGCTCCCAGGCCTGTTGGCAATGAAACAAGAATAAAACACTGAAAAATCTGCCCCCAATGGCCTTTCATAACTCCAGGTGCCCCCCCCCCAATCTTCACATGCCAGCTCAGCCCCACAGCTGGATCTGATCCCATTCCCCCCAGCAACCAGTCACCCGGCCATCCCCCCAGTCTGTGGCACTGTGGGGGTGGGGTGTGTGGGGGGGAAGATGCCATCTATCCCAAGGGGACTATCCCTCCCCCAGCCCCTTACAGCGAGACATAGACACCTCCCACACCAGGGGGCACTTTCCCTTGACCCTGCCTCAGCTCCCAGGTGCTGCGAGGTGCTGAGCTCCCTCCAAGGTTGTGGGGAGGGGAGGAAAGAGCAGGGACCCCCAGGGGGACAAACCCCCCCATCTGAAATGCAAAATCAGGCACCCCAAAAAGTGATGCTGGAGCAGTTAGCAAAGGAGCAAAGAAAAGAGACTAGAAGAGCCGGGCCCAGCCCAAGACTTTCCCTCCCATCCTCAGCACGGCCAGCTGGCTAGCAGCACCGGTAGCCACATGCTCCCGGAGAGCTTCAAGAATTTCCTTGCAAAGCAGCCTCCAGAGGAACCCCCTTCTTAGGTCACAGTGCTGCTATTCCCGCCCCCCTTCAGTCCCCCCGCCCCCCCTTCGCCAGCCGGAGCTGCAGACACTTGTAACCAACACCAGTAAATGGATCAATTGCCAAGTGTGTGGGGGGGGCGGGGCGGGTGATAGAAACAGCACCCCCCACACACACACACTCCCCCCACAGCTGCCCTGCCGGGAACTTCAGTCCGAGACCATAAATCAACCCAGCCTAGGCCGTGGGCTCAGCCCCGCCCCCACTGGGAAGCATGTCCCATCCCACCCCCAGCTGGTACAGCTCAGCCCAGAGTGTGGGGGGGGGGGGGGGGCAGGGATTTCCCTACCCCCCCCCAACTCCCCCATCCCCCTCCACATGCTCCATGCAGCGTTGCCAGTTTAGTCGTTTGCCAGCCCTCCATAAATCCAACCGCCCCCCTCCAATTTCATCCCCGGGGAAGGCTCTGGGAATGGCCTGTCCCCAGGCAAGGTTGCACGGCTTCCACCTACCCAGAGCATGCAGGACAAGCAAACCCAGGTCATCCTGTCGCCAGTTCGGGCCCCCGGCAGGCTCAGCGAGACCGTGGGCATGGCAGCCCAGGGCGCGGGGCGGCGGTGGGGCAGCCGGGCCAGCCCCGCCAGAAGAGATGCCAGCCCATCTCTCCGGCAGGCAGCACCCGAGTGTGTTTCTCAGCCGCTCCGCTAGTCCCTGCCTCCTTTCCCTGTCACTCCAGCTTTTCTCTTCTTCTTGGGTCAGTTCCTTCGCCTCCGAGGAGGAGGCGGTGCCTGGAGGAAAACCCTGCCAGGCGCCTAGAAAATCCTCCCCCGGCTGCATAGACTGGCCCTTCTTTAAAGAACCCAAGCGCCCAGATTTCCCCAGGCATCTGCCAGCCCCATCTCCCCACTGGGAGCCCCCCCGGGCAGACCTCCCCCAGCGGGGCAATCCCCTCTCCACCTGCCCCACCTTGGACCTGCTGAAGCCTCCTTCGCTTTGCAGGGCCGGGAGCAGGTCTGGGTGCAGATCCGGTTCCCAGCTCAGCGGCTCTGGCCCAGCTCAGCGCCGGGAGAGATCCGTTTCCAGGCTGGTGGCAAAGCACAGACTTGGCCGGGTTTCAACGGGCCATTTCCCAGCTCCCTCCCCGCTTGGAAAGTTGGCAGAGGGGGTAGAAAGGTGCCAGGCCGAGACCAAGGTCCCCCATGTGTCCCCAGAACAAGGGCAGACTTTGAGCTGCCCACAGCATGCAGCCCCCGCCCAGGGCCCTCGGGGGTCGCGTCTCTGCAGACGTTCAGCCCGTGGTCTCTCAGGGGAACTGGCGAGAAGGATAGTACCAGCTGGGGTGGAGGTCGGGGGACGTGCGCACTATTCCAAGCAGCCATCAGATGAGAACCTGCCTTGGAACGAGCCACCTGGCGATGAGATGACTGGGTCCCCTCACTGCCGGCCCCCCGTGCTAGCCAGCCAGCTGGTCACCCTGCATAGCTGGGCCCGGACAAAACGGGGAGACTTTGCCCGGCCTGTTGCACTTCCCCTATTCCTGCCCAGCTCAGTTGCCCAAAGCCAGAGGGCACAAACCTCTGAGGGAACCCCAGAGCCCTGCAAAAGCCGAGGGCAGCGCCAGCCAGGCCGGGACACCGGGACCCCCCTGTTCCAGCAAAGCCGGGCGCCGTTCTCCAGCTGCACAGGGCTCCGGCCAACCACCGGCTCCTGCACGTTCCAACCAGCTGCGCGCCCGGCTCCCCCGAGCCAGGCCCTCGTTAAGAACAGCTTCACCCTGCAAACACATTTTCCCCTCAAGGTCCAAGCCAACATTTGGTTCCCATTTCCTTCCACCAACACACCCGCGGTCTCTCCCATCCAATTTCCACATGTGCCTGGGCCCAGAGGAGCAGGGGCGCCGGCCGCTTTCAAGGAAAGACGCAAAGAGGAGGGGAGAGGGAAGGAGGAACCTGCTTGGGGCTTAACACTGCAAAGTTTAGCCCTTTCCTGCAGTCCTGGGGAGGGGAGGGGGGAGCTGGGGGGCTCAGCCTGATACCCAGGGAGCAGTCTGGTCCCTTGCTGCTGTCCTGCGGCTAGGGTGAATGCAGAGAGGGGCGCTGGGGGCTCTTCCCCACCAAGGGCTCTCAAAAGCCTTGAACCCTCCCCTTTACAGTGAACTTTTGCCAACCTGCCCTCTGCCAAACACAACGCGTTGTTAATTTTCCACGACACAGCAGAGCCTTTATCGAGGCCTGACACCGACCCCAGCCCCAGGGAACGCCAGCTCCCCTCCCCCCCAGCGCCACACACGCCATCACGGCTTCAGTTGCGGACATGCCAGGATGCCCCGAGCAAGGGAAAGCCGCTGGCCCAGGCCAGGGAGATGCCCCAGAATGACCCCTCCATGGACTACATCCCTCCCCACGGCACCCCAGCCACCCCCACCTGCTGCTTCCTCCAATGAAGAGCGCCCCTGGGGTCAGGGGGACGTGCCCTCTGGTGCCTGGCACATGGCTGGGGCCTGGCAGACACCTGGCCATCACCCGCACCTAGGCCGGGAAGGATTCTGCACGCTCCCTTGGGTCCTTTATTGTGGGGGTGCTTTCCAGCCCCCCTCCCAAACATCTGTACCCCAAAGGCTCCCGCAGCAACCGCCTTGTGGCCGGGGGGCAAGGGGGAGAGATGCTGCGCTATGAGCCCTCACAGTGCCCGTGGGGCCAGAGAATTGGCACCGCTACCTTGGTGCGCACCCCTCGCCCCCTTCCCCACTCACACATCCCCTCCCCCGTAGCCTTCTACCCCCCCCCCCACCATTTCACACATTCCCCCTCTGCAACCCCACCCCCGTCACAGCCCCCCTCTGCCCACCCTGCACCCCAGGCCCTGCTAAAGCAGCCAGAGAGCCAGGCTGCCCCCCCTTGCTCTGCTTGTCTGCCTGCCTCCCCTCTCACTGTGCCCCAGCCCCTCTCACCCTCCCTCCCAAGCTCAATAGGATCCTGCGACAAAGCCTGCAAGCCGGGCAGGGCCAGGCGAGCCCCTGTTTGTGTTCCCCAGACAATGCTGCCTTTTATATGGGGCCGTGGCAGCCAAGAGCGGGACGGGACCACCCCGGCTCCCTGCCTCCCCCACTGCCTGGGAACACGCAACCCCCTCCCTGCCCCTGCACGGAGTCCCCCACACCCGCCGGGCTCCCTTCCCTGAGGGCAACCCTGGCTCCAACAACCCCTGGCTCCCGTTGGGGACGGAGGGCCTGGCCCATCAGCCCATGCCCCTCTGGGGAGGTGCTTCAGGAGCAGGCGGGGGACACCCCACAGGGCACCAGAACAGGACCAGGAGGCCGCAAAGGGGGCAGGGGACTTTGGGGACCCATCAGAGAAGGGTTAGGCTGAGACGCCATGGAAGAAACGAAGCAGCGGGGGTAGGGGCTGCGGAGTCAGGACCAAAGAGGGGGGCCAGGACATATTGGGGAGGGAAAGCACCAAGGTGCCTAGGGTGAGGGGGGGGGGGGGGCAGAGGAGGCTTGGACGCCTGGGGAGGAAATGACATGCCCTCCGGCTTTGGGGAGACGCGGAGCTGGAGAGACCATCGCCCCTGAGGCCCTGGGTAGAGGCTCTGCCCAGATACCCAGCCGAGGGACCCCAGCCAGCGAGGGGCTCCGTGTCCTGGTGCTGCTGGAGAACGGGCATCGCTCAGGGCAGGCGGGCAGAGCCAAGGGCTCCAGGGTCCGAGAAGAACCCGGAAACAAGGGGGCTTCACCCAACTTTCCAGGCCTGAGCCAAAGCCAATGGAGAGGCTGCTGCAGGCTCATGGAGGATCTGGCCCAGCAGGACCAGGCTCAGGCAGGAGGTCCCTGCCGCTGCTTCCGGGAGCTACTCGAGGTAAGCGCTGCCCAGAGTCTGCACCCCTGACCCCCACCCAGGCCCCAACCGCCTGCTCCAGCCCCGATCCCCCTCCTGCACCCCAAACCCTCATCCCCAGCCCCACCCCAGAGCCTGCACCCTCAGCCAGAGCCCTCACCCCCTCCCACGCCCCAACCCCCTGCCCCAGCCCTGATCCCCCTCCCGCCCTCCGAACCCCTCGGTCCCAGCCCGGAGCACCCTACTATACCCCAAACCCCTCATCCCCAGCCCCACCCCAGAGTCTTCACCCCCAGCCAGAACCCTCACACCCCCTCATGTACCCCAAAACCCTGCCCAGCCGATTCCCCTCTCACCCTCCAAACCCCTCAGTCCCAGCCCGGATCACTCTCCTGCACCGCAAACTCCTCATCCCCAACCCCACCCCAGAGCCCACACCCCCAGCCAGAGCCCTCACTCCACCCCAGAGTCCCCTCCCATACCCTGAACCCCTCATTTCTGGCCTCACCTTGGAGCCTGCACCCCCAGCACAGAGTGCCCCTTGGCTCCACCCCCCAGCATCCCAAACCCCCAGAGCCCGCACCCCCAGCCGAAGCCCTCACCCCTCTTGCATCCCAACCCACTGCCTCAGCCTGGAGCCCCCTCCCACACTCTGAACCCCTCAGTTCTGGCCCCACCCTGGAGCCCACACCCCCAGCCAGAGCCCTCACCCCCTCCCGCACCCCAGCCCCCCTCAGCCAGCCTGGTGAAAATGAGCTAGTGAAGGAGGGTGGGGAGAGCAAACGACTGGGGCGGGGGGGGGGAATGGAGTGAGCGGGGGTGGGGCCTCAGAGAAGGGGTGGGGCATGGGTGAGGCTGCGGGGGAGGGGAGGGCAGGGCAGGGGCAGGGGCAGGGGCAGGGCAAGGGTGTTCGCTGCATACCCCCACCTTGATCTGGGCACCGCTTGGGAAGAGAGCCCCAAACCAACACCCTAGAGCCAGGCCCCCCTCCAGCCTAGGGGGAGCGGAGACCCAGAGCCGAACTCCGCTGCTCAGCCACATCCCTCCTGCTGGGCCATCAGCAAGCCTGATCCCCTGCCCAGAGATTCCTGCATCGCGCCCGGTGACCTTGAGTTTCTTCCCTAGGGAGGAAACAAATGGAAAACTTGGGACGTCACCAAAAACCTGACAGACACGCAGGCTCCCACCCCGACACCTCCAGGCTTCCCCCGCCCCCAGCACCGGCCCAGCACCCAGCCAGAAATCCATGGCACCGCTTCACCGCCTGAGAGTCTGGCTTCCCCCTTGTCCCCATAAATCGGGGGGCCCCCGTGCGCTGAGGATCCAACAGGATACAACTCCGGGCAGGGACAGCAGAGTGCTTTGGGAAGCGTCTGGTGTGAAGGGCGGAGAACGGTGCTGTCGGACCGGTGCCGGTCGTAGCGTATTTGGGACCCTGCAGCATCCGCTGCCCTGGCGCTGATGGAGACGCCCTGATCACCCCAAGGGTTTTGCTCAGCAGAAAACCAACGAAATCCCTTTCGTTCCAATGGCAGTTCCCAGCCCGAGCAGCTCAGGTGCTTTCGGCGTGGATCCAAACCTCCCTCCCCGCCCCCGCCTGGCACCCCTGCTTTCTCCCCTTCGCTCTCGGTTTACAGCTTGCGGGGCCTGCGGCTCATTAAAGCTCTTTATCGCCCCATAAGTGCTTTCACTGCTGGCTGCTCCCGCGCTCCCCTCCCATGAAAAGGGCCCATTCCCGCTCCGAGAGTTCAACGCCCAGCAAAGCGAAGAGCCGGGCTGCCAACCCTCCAGGATGGTCCTGGAGTCTCCAGGAATTAGAGCCGAATCGTTAATTAAAGACGATGAAACCTCCAGGAATACGGCCAACCATAACTGGCCACCCTAGCTCCCTCCTGCTCCACCC